CACCTCAAATATTATTTTAGTTAAAGTTCATTTATGTTCAGAACACATCATTTTTCAGATAATTTATATATTCTCCATTTATATTGTTCTCAAATGTTGAGTCCCAGGGTCAAACTCTTTTCGGATTCACTCGACATATGACACGGTCGTCCACAAGCAGCCAAATAGACACAGGTACTCGACCGGATATACGTTCACAAGCGAGCGTCCGCACCTTCACGAATCAGAACACCCAACTACACTCGGGATCCACTCCCTCTGGTAGATGTTCTCTCTCGAACACCAAGTTACGTTTGGGATCCACTCTCCCTGGTAGATGTTCTCTCTCGAACACCTAGTTACGTTTGGGATACACTCCCTCTGGTAAATGTTCTCTCTCGAACACCCAGTTACGTTTGGGATACACTCCCTCTGGTAGATGTTCTCTCTCGAACACCCAGTTCCATTCGGGATACACTCCCTCTGACAGATGTTCTCCCTTGAACACCCAGTTAAATTCGGGGCATTACTCCCCTAGTCGATCTTCATCTAAGATGATCGTTCATAAAAAACTACCAGCACATCTGATCTAGACGATCGTTCAACACATCATAAGGTGAAAACTATTTCATCTTCACAAATATTCAAAAGTCATCGCAAATTCATGCCAAAACAAAAACCAAGTTCATCATTACATCAAAATTCAAAAAACTTAATCTATTACAATATTTGGAGATTCGGCAACAGCTTCTTCCGCCGCCCCGACACTTGACTCCTCCTCAGCGGCCACTTCATGAGGACCTTCCGTAGCGATCGTCGCATCCTCGACATCATCTTCAGCTTCCAGGAAAGCGTCTTCCGAAACCTCCGCTAGAGGCCGCATCTGACCCTCATATACATCTTTGCGCACGTCAAATGCCACTCCCTCGGTCGACACTTGGAGAAGATGTGCGACCTGTCTCAACGCTTTATTAAAGCCTCTCGTATGCTCCACCATTATCGCTTCGCGCATTTCTTCTCTTTCCTCTCGATTTTCAGCGGCCGCGGCATTCAATTCATCCCTCTCCTTAATCGCGCCATCTCTTTCTTGAGTTAACGCAACTACAGTCTTTCTTAGTTGCGCCAATTCGGATGCCATCTGATCGTGTGCTAGTCGTAGCTCATCCTTCTCTTTCTTCAAGGCAAAGCTAGTTGCCCGAGTAGAGTTAAGTAATGCCTGCCCTTCACGTAACAACTGTTCTGATTGCCTTTGCCTTTGTTCACAGGCGGCATGTGCGTCCGTTATCTCTTTCAGTTGCGTCCGCAACTTCTCCAACTCAGCCCTCAGGACGCCTCTATCAGAAGCGTATGCCATGTGCCAAGCCGCCATAGCGGTTCGACTCGCCATCTCTAGCAAGTCGTCGGCCATCTGCTGCTCGGTCATGCTCTCCACCACCTTCTTCTCGGCATCATCCAAATTAAAATCCATTTTATGACTCAAGTTGAAAGAAGGATCCCACAGGCCCTTCGGAAGGGGACGATCTGTCTCCTCGGCAGTCTCCTTCATTCTTTTTGACACGCCTCCAGTGGCGTCGACCGTTTTGCCTTTCCGTTTCCTTACCAATGGCTGCTCCTCAACAGCCACTACTTCGTCAGACGACACCACCCGCACGCTCGGGAGGACTTGAACGGGTTTGGAAGAGGGTCCTGAACGCCCAGCACTCGCCTTGCCAGTGTCGTTGCCAGTGTCGAAAGCATGAAACCAATTGTGGACTGACCCTTTTCTCCCCATTATCTCTGCCAAACATAGAATCCCTCCAACACAGTCAACAACAATCCAATAGCATACACAAACAACAATAAGAAAAACATACCGAATACCCTCGAGCCGAAATCATCATGCTCAAGACAATTTATGAGCCGACGGGAAGAAAAGGGGCGTGGCAATGACGTCAACACATTCAAGGCCTCCAACTCTTCGATCGTCATCTTATCCTCGTCCCACGAAGTGAACTTCAATGGATCCAGTGTCCAATATAGAGGAAACTTCAGATTTCCATCATCATCAAAAAAGTACACACGTCCTGACTCAAGGATCGACACTTTAAAAAAAATTTCTTTAAAACCCCTATACGAATGCAAATAGAGCTCAAGGAGAGCATCACCCGGTTCCGAAATTAAGGATACCCAACCCCTCTTAGCAACCGGGCGACACCTAAAGAAACGCAAAAACAATGCCACAGTAGGCTTAATAGCCAAGGCTTGGCAGACGACAGCGAACGCCTACATATACCCCCAACTATTGGGATGCAATTGCGTAGGGGCCACGTTTATGGTTTTTAGTACTGCCATTTGAAAGGTCGTCAACAGCAATCGCAGATACAGATCGTAAAACGGTGGAGAGTAGCAGTAGAAAAAATCGTTGGTGGCATTTTCTCTTCCATGAAAAACTCTCTCATCCTCACGACAGGCCACCAACTTAACACACGACCTATAATCTAGGGTTCTCAAGATACAACTATTTTCTACCCAATCAACTAGCACTACTCTACTTCTAAACACACTACAGATTTCACTTACTTCACGCGAAGCCCAGTCATAACCACCACCCCTAGTCGTGGGCTCAGCAAAAACTTCAAGACCTTCACTCACCACGCCTCCGTAACAGAAAGCACTCTCACCGCTCAGAATGGTGGTGATTTCATGATGTTCCGTCAAAGATGACGATCCCGATGCGCCAACATGGGCATTCTGCCCCTTTTCTTCCATTATCGGTAAAAAACCACACTAGAACACAGAAAATATTAGGGATTTACCTGGCAAGTTCGTATGGAAGCAGAATCGACTGATAAGCCAAGCAAGAACTATCGCCAGAAGGAAGAGAATGCTTTTTGATTGTGGTAAAACGTATCACACCTTTCCACCTTCCCCTTCGTGTTAAAGAAGCCAAGAGTGCCAAAGCATCATACGCCGTAAGATTAACTCGATCCAACGGCTCTAATTTCATGTCTTTTCGCTTCCCCCAGAAGCGGGAAACTCTAACTTTTTCTCCGCCAAAAAGGTGCGTAGCACTTACCCTAAAAACTTTTTCTGCCAAAACGCTGCGTAGCACTGGCCCAATAACTTGTATACTCGACGTCCTGTAGTAACCTCGCACGCCAAACCGACGGTCGTTTACTCAGACTCGGGGGGCATGTATCATAGGATGCCTAAGCTCACCAACGGTCGACTGGTAACCCGGGCGACCATTAAGAAGCCGAGATATATTGCGATCGTAATATAGCGATCGCATGTGTCGATGGCAATAAACAGTTGTCGAGCGATGTCACGACAATTCAATAACACGAGCGACCTTTAAGGAGACGTGTAGCCTAAGCTCACTAACGGTCGACTGGTAACCCGGGCGACCATTAAGAAGCCAAGATATATTGCGGTCGTAATATAGCAATCGTATGTTTCGATTGCACTAATCAGTTGTCGAAGCGAATACGTCTGGTCAAAATTAGTCAAGTTGAACATATTAAATCTTAATAAACAAAAGAACAAATAGTTAGTGCCACAAATCACGGGATTAACTGACCCAGTATCAAACACGACCTAACGGTTGTACTTTCCAGATGGTCAACTTCAACCGGATTTTTAGGTAAACGGTTTTATTTTATCGTTTTAAATATGAAAAACAGAAAGGATAAAAAGGTACGTTTTTTCCTGAGAGAGATTTACGATTTTCTTCTATTATTGAACTGAAAGAGTTCTACAATTCCCTTTTTTCTGACTTGAGCGTCGGAGTGCCTTCGCAGGTACCCACCCCATTCTCCCTGAAACGCACTGAGCAGGAAGAGGACGTGAAGATAAAAGCATTCTAGGAGGAGAGGACGCGATTCATCAGGTTCATATTTCGGTCCCAACTTTTATACTGAAACACTAATTTTTTTAAATCATTTATGGTTTTTTTTTTTTTAATTTTTAATAGACTATGATGATAATCCTTAATTTTGAACTTTTTAATTTTCGATCGTCATTCCATTGCAGTTTCAGATACCACACCCAAGATCATTATAGTATTGAAATGTGTTTGAATAAGCTTAAGATGAGATGGTTTGTCCATTCGGTATTCTTGTCTATTATACTTGATACTTTTAAATGTAGGTGTACATGATTAAAAAAAAGGCGTGCGATGGGAGGATTTGATGAGTTTAACAAGGGCGCCCCACTCGACGATGAAGTTGAAGAGGTTAGAAATGCTGTCTCATATCTAAATCTCTACATGACATAGAGTAATAAGGAAGAAAGACATAATGAAAGTGACTATAAATTTATTAATACGTGTTATGATGTTTTGTAGAATATTCCATATTTTGGATTTTTTTTTTTTGTTATATTGATGTAATTGTCTAATATACTTTTTGTAATGTTAAACCCATTAATGAAAAAAAAAATGTTGGTTGATTTTTGTGTGTGTAATTTACTCTTATTTTGATATACTCTTTTTATCTGTTATTACTAAAAGTATATTTTATTAAATTATGAAATTAAAAATGTAAGTGAATAATTATAAATAATAAAATATTTTATTTAATTATTAGTTATAATAGTGAGAATTGTAATTGTGGTAATATAATGAAAATAATCATGTTTCTAACTGCTGTTATTTTGGTTGGATTTGTTTTCCAATAAAAAAATTATGTTAGTTTTAATTTATGATATTTATCTCTTAAAAATATTACTTTATATATTGTATAAAATGATAAGTGTTGTGGCTGCTCGCTTAAACTACCATGTTATACTTGTGACGAAAATATTTATGATATTTTTTAAACCGTGACAATAGTAAACAATAATGGTTAAAAACCATGTAATATATATCGCTACAATTTAGAGGATTGTTTGTAATGTATTTATCATTAACCAATAAAAGATGCAAAGTCCATTTTTTGCTAAATTAATGGGACATTCTTCTAAATATAAATGAAACACCACAAAGTTGTGTATAACAGTATTAATGATTGACAAAGAAAATGGCAATACAAAAAAGTTAACACTGTTACACAACCACCTTATGTAGGTCTTCTAAATTGAAATGTCTTAACTAAAAGTTGCAATTAATTTTCACAAAGACAAAATGGAAAACCATAAAAAGAAATCAACATTATGGAAAACACTTTAGTAATAAAAGAATAAATAAAAAAACAAGGGACTTCTTACAAAGTCTTACTCTTCGTCTAAATCTTCTGCTTCATCAATGAAAATATTGCTGATGTGTGATATTTTGGGCCAAAACTCTCCAACATGTGACTCATACTTTCTACATAAGTCAGCTGCACAACCTTCAATCCTCAAACTTTCAAGGGCGCTGAAGAGATGGATGTTATCCGGGAGCGATACCAACTTTGGACAATTCCTTATTTCAAGAGTTTTCAAATCAGTCAGAACTGGCAGCCAGTCTGGAAATGATTCAAAATTGTGGCAATCGTAAACAAGCAAACACTGTAAGGAGTTGGCAGCTTCCTGAAACCATTTAGGTAAGGTCACCAGTTGTGACAAAGTTGAAAATAGAACAAATTTTAACTTCAGCTTGGGGCTTTGTTCTTCATGATCTCCCTTCCACAGTTCCAAATCCAAATTACTGCATCCATCAATAATCAATGTTTTCAATTGAGGAAAATTTTTACCCTCCAGCAGCAGAGACTTAAGACTCTGACAGTCATAAACGAACAATGTTTTAAGAGTAGGGAATTTCATCCCTCCAAATATGGATTCCACATTATGGCATGATCCAATACTCAAGACTTCAAGCGACCCCAAGTTGGCAATTTCATTCATAGGCAAAACAGTTTGCTCTGTGGAAAACTCAAAACAATAGAGACTGATAAGTTTTTTTAATCCTTTGGGCAATGCTTCCAGCTCCACGCATCCTTCAAGGCTCAACACTAGCAAACTTTGGAGCTTGCAGATAGAGTCGGGGAGTCTCTTAATGTTGGGATTTTTGCTAATGTCCAGATATCTCAGATGTTTCAACTTGCCAATTCTACGAGGCAAAGTCTCAAATGTTGCACCACTTAAATCCAAAACACGTAAACATTTGAACTTTTCCAGACACGTCTTTAGTATAGCTTTACCGTTGGCAGCTGCTACCTCATTTGGAAACAGGACGGTTCTCACAGCTGCTGATTTTTTGGTGACTAAATTGCTAAACAAACCACTTTCGGCAAAAGACAGATGCCGAATATTATCAGGAATATTTTGAATGTTGGAATTGATATGTAGACACTCGTCCATAGCAACAAATAGGGCGAGATCATGCACCAGATCATGTATTCTGAATCTATACACAGTGCCGAAGTTTTGAAAATCTTGAAGAAAGGATCTTGACAGAAGTTCATGCAAATACTGATTGGCTACATCCTCACGTGTTCTATCCGTTTTTGGTAATGCGATGAGTCCAAGTGCCCTCCAAAGCCAAATTATTTCATAACTAGTATATTCATAATCTTTTGGGTAAAGGGAAAACAATGCAAAACATTGCCTCAAATAGGAGGGCATGAGATCATAACTCAATTTAAGGGCAGGTAAAATGTCATCCTTTTTCTGAGGCAAATTCCAGATTTCATTTTGACTCACATATTCCCATTCATTGGCCTCAAATTTTGAGAATAGTAAACTGCCTAATGTTCTCACTGCCAAAGGAACCCCTCCGCATTTTTTCACAATTTCTCTCCCAATATTTACTAAGTGAGGATATTTTTGCTCTTCTCCTTCTTTAAATGCCCATTTGACTAACACAGATATTGAATCCTCCTCAGAAAGACCTTCTAAAATATGAGAGGGAATTGTGCCCATCATGGAAGCAATTGAATGACTTCGTGTAGTCACAAGGATTTTACTTCCTGCAGTTACTTGGATTAAGTTCCTCAACTCATACCATTTAACACGGTCTTCGTTCCATACGTCGTCCAATACGAGTAAGAACTTTTGACCGGAAAGTTTGTTTTTCAGTTGATTTTGCAGTTGTTCCAGATCTAACATGTTCAAATTCATTTGGTGAATAGGAGCATGAGCAGATTCTGAATCATTCACGGAATTGATGATTTTGATAATCAGTTGTTTAATGTCAAAGTCATCAGAAACACACACCCACATCTTCAATGGAAAGCACTCCTGGATCTTCTTATCATTGAACACAAACTTTGCAAGTGTAGTTTTTCCCAAGCCTCCAATCCCCACAATGGGGATAACAGAGAGACTTGTATCATCATCATCATCAGGATTCTGCTGCATCAAAAGCTCTATGATCTTTTCTTTATCGTGTTTCCTTCCTATCACATCTGAATCAGTCACACGAGAGTGTGTCATATCTCTCCGATGAACAACACGTGTGTCAACATCACTCGTTTGAAGACTAAACTTATGCTTATTAGCTGCAACCTTGTCTAGTCTGTTGTTGATATCTTTAATTTGTTGAGCCATTTTGTAACGAAAAACAAGTGGATTAGAACTTGAGAAGAAGTGACTTACCTTGTCTTTGGTGCTACCATGAGCTTTGACCACTTTCTTTCGCAGTGTTTGGCACTCAAATTCATCCAAAACATCTTCGGCATCGGAGAAGACAGTTTTGAGTTGAGAGAGCCATCGACGGAGCTCATGGTTGTGTTCCTGCTTTTGCTGAGCATCTAACAGCACATCCTTGACTAAAGAGAGAGTGTTGGTAAGGTCTTGAAGATCGTCGTATAAACCCACCAATCGAGAAGCTTCTTGAAAAGTACGAGAAGCAAGCTTTGCTATGAGTGACTCTGCAATGCTGAAGATAAATGATTCGGCCATAGTTGTCTGAAATGCAAACGGCGGAGATGAGATGGGAAGGCAAAACAGTGTTTCGAAGTCAACTGTGTTGATGAATGGATTCGACAACAACTAAATAACGAATGCCACTTGCTACTATCTTTTAGCATATAGTATTGAAAGAGGAGGAAGACTATGAAGTATTAACTATTTTTCTTCTACGAAACGACACGAACGTCTTCCACAGTTAGACAGAGGCAAAATACGATAAGGCTTCTTTAACAACCAACCAATTGGTGATAACATTTTAACAACAGCGTTTCATTGGTGCATTTCAAATAAATTTAAAAAAATTGAAATATGACGTAGAGGACAATTTCGGAAGAAAGAAGGGTTTCGCAGTTTCTTCCATTTCACCATTTGTCCTTTGTTTCGCATTCCGCATCTCTCGCGTTCTCGACCATGCGGTGTCATTTTCTCCACTTGTTCAAGTTCTTGTTGTGGGAAGGGGTGTCTTGCTTAGACGACCAAGCCACTACTGAAATTATGCATATAAAATATGATTAGAATTAAAAAATTATTTTGTAATTTTTCAAAAAAAAAAAAGTAAAATATATTATATGATGACAACATACCCAAACAAGTGGCTGGCATTGGACAAAATGGCGTAGCAAGCACCCAAAGTAGAAAACCAAAGATAGTTTCTGCTCCATTTTCTTATTCATACTTCAACAGTGATTTTTGAGCAATTTGATTGTGCAATTTTAATTTCACTGATATTGCAATATTTATACTCAACTAGCTGCAAAATATGTTGATTTTTGGTTTAGTTTTGTAATCTTTAATGTTCATTTACCATAAGTTGTTTTAGTTGAAATGAAATATGTAGTAATCAGCTGAAAGAATATAAAATTTTATTTCATTTATAATATAATTAAAATAGTGACTGTTCTGTCATTTCAGTTTTGGGATTGGCAGATCCCTTCCATGCTCTGGGATTAAATCCTATTGTTTTCACTTCTATTTTGCAACTGTATTAATTTCATTTATTGGTGTATGCTTGTCTTTCCTTCCTCTATGGGGACCATTTACCCAAAATCTTAATTTGTTAAAGACTCATGGATGACTTTTAATAACTCTAACACCAAACCTGACCATGTATTTATTTGGGATTTCCGGTTCGCTTAAGTTAGCTTCTTGAATTGAGCTAGTTTCAGTTCATTTCTAATAATTTCAAATCACATTGTTTATCATCCAATATTTTTATTGAAACTTTGTATGTATTTTTCTTATAATTGTTGAAAATTTGAAGAATCTTTTTTCTTCGTAACAGGCTGACCTGAATCGAATAAGTAGGAATCAAGTGCCACTCTATGGTTTGGAAGGAAGGTTTGAAAGGATAAACCAACATCCAGTTACGTTGCAATAATTTTGTTTTTATTTATTATGGTGTCATCTGTTAGAATTTTTTTTTTATATTTTATTTATCTGCATAGTGTTGGGAGTTATTCATTCTCCATAGGAATTACAGAGGTTCTTAATACAAACCTTGTACTAGAATTAAGCGCGAATGATGTAGAGTATGTTTATCAAAGGTATTATAATTTACTTGGTCTATATATGATTTCGAAAACGTTCTTCTTAAATGTTTATCAAAGGTATTATTATTTTATTTGTAGATCTTTAATGATTTATCTTCCATGAAAGTTGCAGACATGAAAGACATTAGAAAGAACTGGAAGTGTTAGTAGAAACTTCACAATTATGTACATTAATTTAATATTTGAATTTAATATATAGTTTTATGTATAAATGATGTATTAAATATTATTAGACATGAATTCTATTTTATTAGTTCAATTGAATTTGTTCATTTGGAGTTATATTGATGATAAATTAATTGGATGAGAGAATAATACGTGATTATAATTTCATTGGATGTCAATTAATAATCAATTTTTTTTATAAAAAAAACATATATTATGACATACTAAACCATGTATGTCATAGTACATTCAACGTATTATGATTGGTAACAATATTTATGTCATAATACATCACATATTTTAACATATAAATACATCTTGGTCATAATATGTTTCGCCATATTATAACGGACAAATGAAAATTTATTATAATAAACTACGTATATTATGACTGATTACAGAAACTACGTCATAATATGAGCTATTATGACGTAAATTTCTGCTACGTCATAATATGTGCATACTTACTATATCACTCAGAACTATGTCACCAGCAACTACGTCATAATATGTAACTTTTGTACTTCATAAAGTGTTAACAAAATAGTGTTTATAAAAATGATCGTATAGAATAACACACTAAGTGCAACGTATATGTTAAACAATATCTTAAATGCGATGTTTATCCTAAACCTTAAAGAGAAGAGTCTAGCATGAATGCAATAGATTACTCTAAATGCAACCATTTGATAAATAGACTAGCATAAACGCTATAGTACATGGACCTTGCTAAAGGCTATACTGAACGTCTAATGTTTTAAATCCAAATGTACAAATAATACTCTTTTGTCTGATGCGTTGTTTCTTTTTATCTATGCAGATACATAAAAGACAAATGTTTTATTCAAAAGTTATGTGTTGAAGGTTAAGAGATATGAAGACATTATAGGAATGTTTCTTCAATGCTTTATGTCTGGCCAATCCGTACAAGCAACACAGTTGACTTTGCAAAAGCAAAGTAGCATCTGACCTAGTACAAAGACTATAACACTTACATCAAAGTCAATACTTCTGATTAACAAATCTTTTTTAAAGCTGTTCATATAAAGAAGATTGCATGAAGAGAAGAAACTAGAATTAAAATTGCATATACTCTTATGTTATCATTCTCTTGCATTGATAATAAATAAATAATAAAATAATAAACGAGAATCAATAATAAAATAATACTAATTAAAAAGAAAAAATATTAAAATATCTAAAAAAATAAAAAGATAAGAAAAAATTATCTTACATCTTTACATTTTTTGGTTTCTTTTTGGATGCTTGTGTGGTTACTCAATGGCACTTGTGTGATCACACAGGTCGTGTTATTGTATAGTACCTTTATCATTTTTCTCAAAATCCAAAAAATAAATTTCTCTATTTATTGTAGAATGTATGCATGGTTGTCTGTCATCTTATATTTGCCAAAATAAAGGTATCAATATTCGGGTGACCATATACATCGTCATATACGTCGTCCTAGTACCAGGCCTTATTTCTTTTTCATATAATTCAAAATACAAAAAAAAAATATAAAAAGGTTTTGAAAACTAAAAGATTAATCAAAAACATAGAAAATATAATTTTTTCAAAATTAGAAATACCAATATTTTCAACCGAACAATTCCTCATAAAAAAACAATGTGATCCTTACTTAATTTTTCATTATAAATGAAAATGCGTAGAAGCGCAATTATTGAATTCACTTAAAATAATAAAAGATATTTTCAATTAGTTTTTCACTTAGAATTACATAATTTTTTTATTATGAATAGAAATACGAGCAAGATTAATTTATGACCCAAAAAATTAAAAAAATATTTTTGTTTTTGTATAATATTTTCTTATTTTCGGGAAAAATAAATATTTTAAAAACTATATTTTCTTCTTCATATTTTAGCAAAAGTATCTCTGACAGGTGTTATAGAATACAATGTTAATCTTTCCTACGTCTAATTGACTCTTGGATTCAAAATCTAATTTTATAAATCATTTATGGATTTTTTTATTTTTAATAGACTATGATGATAATCCTTAATTATGAACTTTTTAATTTTCGATCGTCATTCCATTGCAATTTCAGATACCACACCCAAGATCATTATAGTATTGAAATGTGTTTGAATAAGCTTAAGATGAGATGGTTTGTCCATTTGGTATTCTTGTCTATTATACTTGATACTTTTAAATGTAGGTGTACATGATTAAAAAAAAGGCGTGCGATGGGAGGATTTGATGAGTTTAACAAGGGCGCCCCACTCGACGATGAAGTTGAAGAGGTTAGAAATGCT